GTAGTAGTAGTACTAACAATCAATACTACCACCACTACCACTACCACTACCACGACCACGACCACGACCACGACCACGACGACGACGACGACTACGACTACGACTACGACTACGACTACGACTACGGCGACTAGTACTGCGATGACGACGATTACGACAACAGCTCCCGCTACTGGCACTGTAACAAAAAAGACTGTTGTTTTTGGTTCGGGTTTCAAGCTTGGCCACGCCGAGGGTCCTCGTGCGCTTCCCCGACCTCCTCCTTGTTCGAGATTTGACGGCGGCAAAGCTTTGCGAACATGCTGCTGTGCGAAGCGAAGAGCTGGCCTCGGAATCAACGGTGTCCACAACACTTCCACAACGTGTCCGGCATGTTTGCCTATTTTTGTGGGGAGGCTTCTTCGTTTCTGCAAGAACGCCTTTGAACAAACACATGGATTCCGTTCTTTGCATTGAGGGCTTCATCGCAAAAATCCTTTGCAGTATTGACATAAGGATCTGAGTGCGATACCCAGCAGGTTCGGCATCTTGCTGTGCGACCGGCACAAAGGCATCAGAAAGTTCTCCTGCGAACATGGGACGCACAAGGTGGTGCTATAAACAAACTACATGGTTTTTTTATTTCAGTATATTACACTGCAATAATATAATATAACACAAGATGATAAAATATAATATAACAGAATAGAGCAGAATCTACTATAATATAATACAATATAATGGAATATAGTACAGAACCTATAGAGCTCGCTTTACACACACAGGTCTGGGGCACTCGCATCTGCGACTGTTCCGGGTTTGCGTCTCTTTCAGCGGTGGCCGGACAAGATTTTTAATGAGTTCTTACATGGGTCCTACGTGAGACTCATACCTTGAAACACTGAACCGCAATGGAGTGTGCTGTTCATCCTGGCTTCACGGATGATCTGCGCGCATGGATCGGTCGCGGGTTCTCCGATGGGAACACGAATCCCACAAGGACGATCATCTGTGGAACAACTTTCCCAAACAAGTTTTGCGATGCACCCTCACGGAAAACCAGAATGTGCAGCGTCGATGTGACCTCTGCGTTTCCACGGCTGCGAAGTAAAACAGGAACCTGTGTCTGTAACCTGGCACAACCCAGGCGAGGACACGTTGCCCTTCCGTTTCCCTTTCTGCTGTCCCCTCGCCCGGCACCCTTCCTGTAAGATCTTGTGCGTGAGCTTCTGCATCGGCGCGACCTGCAGCTTTCTGTCAGAGACCGCGCTTAGAGAGCTTCGGTTGGGACTTCGGAATCTGAATATTAGAGGAAAGCCGATAACACCAAGTTGGGGTTAGGGCCTCGCTCGTCGGATTTAGGGGTTTTGCTTCGAAGATCTGCAATGTAATTGCCTAATAACCGTTTCCTAAGGCCAGCTTACAGGAGCGGCGGTGCAGCTTACGGGAGCGGCCGTGAAGACTCGTCGCCATTTTCATTGCATTTTCGGCGCCAGGTGATGCCACAACACCCAGTGACGACCTATTACGATATTACGTATATACCCGTCTACTGTCTGTATGTATGTATGTATGTATGTATAGAAATATACACATCTGCATACCTTACATACGAGGCTGCGCGCCTGACTGGAACGAGGCTCCCTGTTCTTGTCCCATCCCTTCAATCGGCACGTTTGCAAAAAAGCCTTGAATGGCAATCCACGACATGACGTCTTGTGCCTGCAGAGCGCCGCTCAGGAGCTGCGGCGTTAAGCGCTTAGGGTTCGGGGTGATGCGTGCTGCATAGATCTTGGGAGTTTGTGGCATTGCTGATTCCTAATGTCTTCCGCGTGGACATATACATCTGCGGCGAAGTCCTGACCACACAACAATCACTACAAGCCTTACATTGCAGGAAAGCTACTCGGCCGCTCACGGCTCACAAGTTTAAGCTCAAGCAAAACAAGCTCTCTTCCACCTGAGCTGTTATAGAAGCTCGTGCCTCCAGTGACTGCCGCAGCAGGTCCTTTGCAGCACCGACTGCAGAGGTAGAGAAGCCGAGCTCGAACTCAAGGAGATGCCTCTAAGTGGCTTTACGATTTAGGTTTCTCTGGGGTTCGTTGGGCGTAAGCTTGGGGGGCAAAAGAACTGTTGTCATTGAGGTTCATCCTACTGAGTACTGAGTACTACTGATGCTGCCACTCCTCCCTCTCGTCCTGCTACTAAAGCTGCTTCCACAACACCACCACTACCACGACGACTCCTCGTTCTTCTGCTCCTGTTGCTGCTGCTGCCGCCACCGCTACGGATACTACTGCTACTTCCACTGCTACGACGACCACGACTACTAGGACGACTAGGACTACGGCTACGAACGACGACTACTGCCGCGACGACGCCGACGACGACGACTATGACAAGCTGCTACGACCTAGCATCAGCAACCGAGCAATCTGCAGTTAAGTGGCGGATGACGGGCTGATACGCGTGGAACCTGATCGTACAGCCTGCGGTTTGCCTCAGGACACAACACCAGGAATTCTGAGCTTGGCACAGCACAGCATCTGGGCCCCCAATCTATATGAGAGTTTCAGAAAATCGGGGACCCTGATATAGGACCGTACATAGTAGGATCCTTATTATAAGGACCCCTAAATAGGGTCCCCTAGTTTTCTGAAACCTCCACATTCCCCGGTCTGGCCATCAAAGACGAATCCTTCGGATGCCCCAACTCGGCGCACCCAGGAGTGCACCTCGTCTTCCAACAGGGCCCGGAAGATGTTGTGCATGCAGAAATATGGGACACTCGTCCGTGTCACCTTCTCTGCGTTTGGTTTCGGGGGGTTGGTGACAAAAGGTGCTCACAGACTCTAAAATCTACAATGTGACCAAGCCCGAATGAATGGAAGGGGGGTCTAGGTTATCAGGGCTAACACGAAGAACAAAATGCTGAAGCTCCATCCTACAAGCAAGCAGAAGGACCATTCCGGCGAACCCTGAAACCTTCCCAATTAAACCACCTCAACATCTTCAACAAACCATTATCACAAAGCGGAAATAGCAACATCCTGTCTTTTTAGCTTTGTTGCTGCTCATCGGTATTACCATTCCTGCTCTTTCGCTGCTGGGTGATACTCAACTTTACTGCTTCTGCTATATACCTGTTAAGACAACACTGGGTTTCGACGCTCACACTCGCACACAGCAGGCAAGGCTCCACAGAATCCCACTTTCGCACTTGCAGTGACTGAGCACATCAAGCACCAACAACCAGAAAACTGGGCCCTAAACCCTAAACCCTAAACCCTAAGTTTAGGGTTTAAGCCCTACGCCCTCCCCCTCTCTCTCTCTCCCTCTCTCTCTCTCTCACAGGCATTCGACGCCCTGGACCCCAAAACCCTGGGGCCCGAGGATTTTTGTGATAACACCCTTACAAAAGGTCTCAGATACAAGGCCCAACCCCGACCGAATTAGAGCAGTTTGTGTTGTCGGTAGCTTCCGCTTCAGTGAAGATGTGTCAAGGCCTGTTCTGCTGACTCACATAGCAAGAGACACTCAGCGGATCATCTCATGGTCTAACTGTACGTAGCCAGTGGAATGGAGGAAAGAGATGCAAAGTCAGTGAGCTCCGTTTCGTGTGTTCCTCGCAGTGCCCCTGCCACGTTTCGTCTTGCAGATTGCTGACTGCCCACCCACCTGCCTCCTCGCGCATGGTCGAGAACAGCTGTGCAACAAGTGGATGCTTGGCAGTGCTGGCAAAGAACCAGTTGCTGATCATGAGCTTGTACTTCCTGAGATCTCAAGATTTGGGCTCCGGGCTTCGGGGTTTGGAGCTTCGGCATCGGCGAAATCTGAAGCCAAACCGCAACTACGTGATACAAGTGCAGAGCAGACTCTTCACTTCAAGACCTGCTTGCTGCCCTTTGCCGCGCGCAGTGCGGAAGCGGAAAAAGGGACTCTCTGACTCGGACAGCTTGGGTTGTGCGCGCACGGAGTTCCAAAGTCTAATTATCGCCCAAGCCTGTTTGTCCGAATCCAATAAAACCCTAAACCCTAAACCCTAAACCCTAAAAGCTTGGGCTCAAGAAGGGATCATGGGCCCAGGTGTTGGAGTCGGACCGGTCGAATACGAAAAAGAAGTCCTGCGCGGAAAGGGCAGGAATGCGTTGGACGAGAAAGGCAGCATAGGGGACTTCAGGGTGTTGGATGACCGCGTCCGGCAAATTGCAAGGTTCGTTCGTTTATGCTCTGGCCCTGTTTTGGCTTCTGAGGCACAGCAACATGCACGAGCCTCCTTGGTGGATGATGCTCAACTGTTACACAGTGTTGTCTCGGTGGTTTCGTTTCGCGCGATCAGCTTTTGAAAGGAGGCGTCAATTTTGCAAAACTGTGACCAAGCAATCATCAACCGCAAGTCCGTGTCCACCTGTTTAGCACTGACATGCTACGTCTTCGGGCTGTTGGAGAAGGTGCCCAAACCCCTCAGCCCGCGGGCCTCTTTAGTCCAAAGTCCGGAGCCCAAGACGCACGCTAAGCCGACAAACCTAAACAAAGTCCAACCATCATGGGAGAATCGCGAAGGCAAAGGGTTTACTCATGCCCATAGTACATCTGGATATTCTGCTAACGGGTCCTCGAATGGCTACTGTAGTTCATCTGCCACCCTAGAACAGTCATCACAATTGGAAGAATAACAGTACGTCGTACTTGAAACATTCGCCTCTCTGAAATGCACCCAGAACTCTACTCCAAACCCTAAACCCTAAACCCAGAGTTTTGCAGGGATTTGCTTAAGAAAATTGGAACCCGCTTGAGCTCCTTCGCAGCATTATCGGAGCGAGTCTTCAGTGCCTGCGACAATTTCGAGAGAACTTAACCATGGGACAAATGGTTAGTATAAGGTTTTTGGGTAAATTATAGGGTTTAGGGTTTAGGATTTAACATGAGATAAATGGTTAGAATGAGGTTTTGGGTAAATTATACGACAGTTCTGCCGGGATTCTAAGAAGGTAACTTAGTCAAAACATACCAAAACCTCTTCCCTTAACGGGTTTTCTGATCTAGGTTTGGGAGTCCATGTTCTCGGCTCCACGATATGCGGCCAATTTGGTTTCCTGGAGCACGTAGCCTTACGCAATCAGGCAGCACCCACGGGCACTCCAATCCTTGAGACGTTTAAGTTCTTTATGGGAACACGGGAGAACTGATGCCCGAAAAAAGGCAGAAGGACGGCATAGGGTATAGGAATGAGAGTAGCAACGACAATGCTGGTAGTTCTTCCAGCTACTTGTGGTGGTGGCAAGAGCGACTATGGATCAGTATATCGGCATGGCCGGCAAGAGCCTGTCACAGAGTTGCAGATCCAAAGCAGGGCGACAACACCGAGCAATGGTAGCCTGCACATGGCCATGCTCCATACGCAGAGCCTTCGGCAAATGTTCAGCGGCACGCCAAGCAGCACAAAGTGGTTCTTCTGTGATACTAACTGCCTGAACCTTAAGCCCTAAATCCTAAACCTTAAACCTTAAAAATCTTAAACCTTAAACCTTAAATCCTAAACCTTAAACCCTAAACCCTATGCCCCCTTAACCGGCCTCAGCCCCAATACCCCCTAAGCCCCCTGGCGCCTGAAGCCACGGCATGACCGGAGCCGTGCAGAAGAGCCTTAGGATGGCTCTAGGGTTTAGGGTTTAGGGTTTAGGGTCTAGGGTTTACTGTAGGGTTTAGGGACTCAGGGCTCATAATATGCTATAGAGGCCTTAAAAATGAGAATAGGGCTCCTTTACAGTAAAGGGTTACTATAAGGGTTATTATAAGGATTCTACAAGGGCTTAGGATTGCTTCAAGGGCTCTCAATATGCTATAGAGGCCTTAAAAAATTAGAATAGGGCTCCTTTAAAGGGTTACTATAAGGGGTATCATAAGGATTCGATAAGGGTTTAGTATAGAGGCCTTAATAATTAGAAAAGGGTTTTGGGACCCATTATACCAGAATGTCATAAGAAGGAGCCCCCCAAAATTTAAAATAGTATTGGTAGTTATTCTGGCCCCCGGTGTGAGCTTTCCGGAATTCCGGCTTCGACTCAGAGTGCGTGAGCAGGCTTTGGGACCCAAGTTTGCAGGCATCGGCTGGCACTGTCTCTGGGGCCACGGCTTATGGCTTTGGTGGCGCGATTTTTGGTTCAGGAATGTGGCAGATCCACGCTTGTGAGAACAGCAACCATGCCTTTGCGGCATGCTGGAGCCTCTGTCTGCCTCCTTGACACAACAAAGAACATCAGAGTCATGATCATACGTTGGGTACTGCCCCCATACAGTAACAGTCTATAATAAGGCTACGATTAAGGGCCTAATATATCCATAATACAGATATTATCCAACTGTTACTGAGTGGGGGCAGTACCCAAATCATACGAATCAACTTGAACCGCGCCCAGCCGTAACAACAAGATCCCCTTGTCTTAGGCAACCCGCAAGTGTGAGCCCAGAGTCGTGGCGTCAGCCCAAACGCCACCAAACTTCTCCAGAAGTGCCAAACGCACCTTGGCCAGATCTGCACTCTTCTCACGGTTCAGCCTTCTTTTCTAAGATGCGCACCAATACTTAATAACCAATATTCACTTTAAAAACATGAGGCCCAGGAATTTACCATCAAGGTTCAGGTTTCAGATTCCAGGATCAGAACTAAGGAATGTGTTAGCGAGGTTCAGTACCCAGCACTGAGCCCAAACAATAGACAACATGGTTGATCTGTATATATATATATATATGAAGATATGGTGTAGAATATATACTCTCAACCCTAAACTAAAGCATTATACCAATTGTAGTATATAGAGGTATACCATATGATATATAGCATAGGACCCGAACCATGAGCTGCAAACTGCAGACCGAAAGCCCTTTGTCAGCATGGGCTTGGATTGTGTGCCAGCGAACACACCTCAACAGCAGGGCCTTCTCGTTTAATGAGGGATGCAACCGGAGGAGTGACAGAAACACAAGCATGAAGCAAGTAGCGACAATCTTCCGAACTAGAGACCGAAAGCCCTAAACCCTAAACCCTCATCCCTAAACCCTAATCAATCCCTAGTCCCCAATCCTGAAACCCTAAACCCTAAACCCTACACCCTAAACCCTTATCCCTAAACCCTAATCCCTAAACCCTACTCCCTAAACCCCACGCTTCCTCGGCCCGGTGGCGAGGTCCGAACGCTGGGCCGGGGGCAGCTCCCACAACCGGGGCCACATGGAAAGCTCCGGCAGCAAGTCCTATGGTTTAGGGTTTAGGGTTCAGGGTTTAGGGGAACTGACCGATCCTTTGAGGTCTGTGGGGCTTCGGGCCTTTTTGGGGGTTTTGAGGCTTAGGATTTAGGGGTTTAGGGTTGGGAGGCTTAGGATTTAGGGGTTTAGGGCTTGGAGGTTTTGGGTTTAGGGTTTAGGGTTGGGAGGCTTAGGATTTAGGGGTTTAGGGTTGGGAGGCTTAGGATTAAGGGGTTTAGGAATTAGGAATGGGAGGCTTAGGATTTAGGGGTTTAGGGTTGGGAGGTTTAGGATTTAGGGGTCTAGGGTTTGGAGGTTTAGGGTTGAGGAATGAGGGGCCTGTGAACCGTTTTTGCACCTGAAGTTGCAGGGCTCTGCGGCACTTGCATGGTAGGCCCGTTGGCGATTCTTACAAACACCGTTCAGCTGACATAGCTTCATCCTCATGAACGCAAGCTCCAGAGGATGGCGACTAGCCTGGACCAGGTGGCATTCTTTCCCTAAACCCTAAACCCTAAACCCTACCCCAAAATACAACGGGTTTCGGGTCAAACGTTTAAGGGCTTGAGAAGTGGTGAGAACTGCAGCCGGAGGCTCAGGGAGGTCAGCAGCCGAGATCTTGCCTCAGTGTCGCAGGCACTTGAAACTAAACCTAAACCCTAAACCCTAAACCCTAAACCCTCAACCCTTTTTTGCTGCAGGCTTGCAAGCAAGAACGCCTGGTAGTTAGCCACTCGTCCGCCGGTTAACACTGTACTCGTGACAGCGCTTCCAGCTTCCGAGCATGCGACTGAGGAACTTGACTGAAAAGGCACACTAATCCGAACTTGTCATAAGCATGTAAACCCTCAACCCTAAATCCTAAACCCTAAACTAAACTACCGTCTCATCTGCGATCTAACGAAAGGTCCAACCACCACCAATGCAGCTTGCCGATCGTCGTTTCCACAGCCGAGCCATATCGTAGGACATTCTCGCAGCCCATAGTTATTCAAAACCTCTAAACCTTGCAACTCAAAATCCCCTAAACCCTAAACCCCCCAAGCCCCTTTTAATTTCCTCAGCAGGCAGCGGATGGACAGATCCGGATTGGCGCATTCCCAGCTTTCGGCGCAGGCCTGACGCTGAACTATGAGGAGTCCTATGAGGGTGCTATAAGGGTTACCACAAGGGTCCTACGATCGATCGATCTATCTACATATCTATCTATCTATCTATCTACCTGGCTATCTATCTACGTACCTATACCTACCTATCTATCTAATCAATCTATCTATCTGTCTATCTTTCTGTCTCTATATATCTCTATAGTGCATATGCATATATATATATATATCTACATATGTCTATATTATATCAGCTTTTCACAGTGGAATATTGGAAAGGAGTGGGTCAGAGGTGTTGAGGCACACGAACTCTTAGTATTTCATAGTAAAAGGTTTTATTGGGTAGAGTAGTCGTCATAAAGGCTCACCGCTGTGTTTGGTGAGTGATATCCCCCTTCCTGTGCACATGGTAAATGCCTGCATCTAGGGGATTAACCCTACCAGGCGGCCCATGTATCCCAAAAAATCAATACAGAACTGAGGAGACCAGAACAAGAGGGATCGCACGACTGCCGCAATTTCCAGGCCGCCTGACAAAGTGCTGGTGCATTCTGCCAACCTCGGTACACGTGGGCAGCATGAAGAAGAAGACTAATAAGAGATCGTGGTACTGACAACCACAAACCCGTAGACCCGAACCACCTACCATAAGCTCGGGAAGTAACAAGGATACCTGAATGACGCGACTAGAGCGATGAGCCTATCTATAGTGGAACGAAACTACTTCTGTATGTGATTGCAGCATGCATGTACGTATGCACAATGTATATACATATATACATATGTATATATATATATATATACAGAGAACGAGAGACAGAGTTGATGCATTCGTGTCAGTGCAATATGAACATCTATATATATATATATATATAAAATACATACATACATACATACATACATACATACATACATACATACATACATACACACATACATACATACCGACATACATACATACATACATACATGCATACATACATACACACATACATACATACATACATACATACATACAGGCATACATGCGTACATACATGCATACATACATGCATGCATACATACATACATGCATACATACAAGCTCACATACAAGCACACATAAATACGTACATACATAGGTACATACATACGTACATGCATACATCCATGCATGCATACAT